TTCATCTGCCTTCCTGGCTCAGACAGCTGAGGCTGGGGCCACCCCTGGGCCATGTTCTCCCTGCTGTCCCTCCCCTCCTGGCTCCTGGGCCTCCCCTCCCTCGAGTGGGGCTCCAGCCTCACTGACTCCCTCCTGCAAGGTGAGTGCCTCCTTCCTGTTTCCATGCGCCCTGCCCTCCCACCCTGCTGCTGCCGAACTGCCTGCCCTCCCTCCCACCCCCTCAGGCCTCATAGGGGCCTGCGGAGTCTCCGTCCTGAACAACCTCCTGAAGGTCTACTTCTTCGTGGGCTGCGCCAAGTGAGTGCCCACTGACCTGCCCACTCCCAGCCCCACGCCTGGCCTCTGGGCCCCACACTGTGACTCTAGCCTCTGAGGGGACAGTGGGGAGAGGAGACCACCCTTCCTCCAGGGAGTGTGGCTGGGGACACTGGGACCCTCCAGGGCCAAAGCTGGTGGTTGTGCCCCTCCGTCCATGCCCACTCTGCCCCCGCAGCAACCCAGAGCACCAGCCCCAGAAGGAGCGGCTGTGGGCACAGTGGGCCTCGCTGGACTCCGTGCACCTGGCAGGGCTGGCCCTGATCCTGACTGTCGTGGGGGCCCGCGTGGCCGCCCTGGTGGTGCTGGAGTTCTCCCTCAGGGCTGTCTCCATGCTGCTCTCCCTGGACAAGGTGAGGCCCCAGGGAGATGGCAGGGGAGTCTCACGCTCGAACATGGGACACTGGGCCCGACCGGAGCATCCCCGTCCCCTCCGCCTCCCCCTTGGTAAGAGTGAGGCTAGAGAGTGCAGACTGCCTCCTCGGGCTGCAGTTGCGAGGCGAAGTCTCCACTCAGGGTGGACACAAGCCCAGTCCAAGCAGCGCTTCCGACTTGCCAGGCACTGTGCTAGACACCCCAGTGCATCACCTCACTTCCCCTTACAACTGCAGCGGGTAAAGGTTTGCCCTGATCCCCATTCCACAGACGGGGAGGCTAAGGGCCCAGAGAGGGTAAGTGGCTTGTCCATGTCCAACAAGCAGCAAGTAGAGGCAGCTTTGAACCCAGGCCTTCAAGGCTCTGAGCTACCACCCTCCAGCAAGCAGATGGGGCCCCAGCAGGAACCCTGATTGAAATTAAGCCACAAGAAGTGATCTCGTTAGGCCTTGACCTGAAGGCAGTGTTCCCTGTTTGAGAATGATCCCCCACGTTCCTTCAGGCTCCAGCCTCCCATAGGGCAGAGCCGCTATATCCTCCCAGTCCACTGGTCTCCCCACAGTGAGGGGCAGGCTGAGCCCCCACCATCACCACCCCTCTTCTGCTCCCTCCCCGCGCAGGGTCCCCGGGGCACAGAGAGGCTGCAGCTGTACCTGCTGGGCCAGTACTCACTGGGCTGTGGGCTGACCTGCGGCCTGAGCTTCCTGCAGGAGGGCGCCCCTCACTGCACACTCAACCTGCTGCTGGGCCTCTGGCTGGCCACACTGCTCTGCCAGGGTGCCCGGCGCCTCCGCCACCACGTCTACCACCTCTATGAGCTGCACAGCAGCCAGCAGTATTGTGGGGTCTGCCTGGGCCTGCTGGCTGGCGCTCACGGCCTCCCCCGGATGCTTGGCCGTGCCCTGGCTGTGGCATTTGCTGTGGGTGACCTGGCGGCTGTGGCCCTCATCAACCGGGACTTCCTGACCACCTCAGAGGCTGTGCGCTTCTGGACACCGCTCACCATCTGCTACACCCTGCTGGTCATCTACATGCAGGGTAAGGGCCAGGGGTGGGCCGGGAGGCAGTTCAGTCCCTTGGCATCCACTTCCCACTGTGCTAGACACCACCCCTGCCAGCCTGAGTGCCCAGGCTGGTGGCGGAGGCCAGGTGGTGGAGCAGCTCAGAAAAGGTGATGTACAGGGGAGCCCTCAGGACATAGTGCTTGAACTGGGCCTTGAAGGATCAGCCCCCTGAGAGAGCTGAGTGGGAAAAGGAGACCCTGTCCAGGCGAACCACATATGCCAAAGCCCAGAGGTTATAGAAGGCACAGCAGCATCAAACAACTGAAAAGAGTGCAGCTGTCACCCCAAGGGCATGGGCAGGGGATGAGGCTGGCCGGGTTTATAGGGGCCTGCGGGAAAGCCCTCAGCAGCCGGGCTGGGCAGTCGGATGAGAAGTCATCATAGGGTTTTAAGCAGGGGTGAGTGACATGGCTGGAAGTGGGCTCTGGGAAGAGCCCCTGGCTGCAGGGCGGGCATGGGGTGGAAGTGGCAGGACAAGCAAGACAGTCAGGCAGAGAGAGAGACAAGTGCAAAGGCCCTGGGGTGGGAATGAGTTTGGCAGGCTTGATGAGCAACAAGAAAAACAGATGGCTGGGGGTAGGGGAAGGGCAGTGAGTCAGAAATGAGATGAGGCTGGTGTGCAGGTTCAAACCACACAGGGCCTCAAAGGCAAGGTATGTTTATTCCACTGCAGTGGGGAGTCCTGGGGGGAATATAGGCAAAGGATGATCGTGTCTCGTTGGTTGCTGCTGAGTAGACACTGAGTTGTAGGGTGAAGAACAGAGGCCAGGAGCCCAGGGAGGAGGCTGCTGAGAGAGAAGGTGGCCGGGCCCCTGGTGGGGCAGTGTGAGTGGCGAGATGCGCTCAGGTGGGGTCCATCTAGCAGGGGGCCCACGGGGCTTCCTGGTGCATCAGACGGATGCAGGGAAGAGGGGTCAGGACGACTCCGTAGCTGGGAGCTGGCTGCTGGCCCTGAGGCCTGCGAGGCAGAAGTGCCTGGCACCCTGTAGGTGCTCAGAAAGTGTGGGGTGTGGGCGGGGAGCAGGGGGGGTCCAGGCTGGACCCAGCTGCACTTCAGGTTGGGGCACCAGGTGGAGTGGGCAGGGGGTGACAGGTGCACTGTCCCCGCAGAGGAGCAGCGTCAGCACCCGGGCCTGCAGGGCCAGGTCCAGACGGTGCTGGTGCGCATGGGCAGCCTCTTCGTGCTGCTGCTAACCGTGGGCCGCTGGCTGGACCTCCTGGGTGTTCTCATCTCCCTGCTGGGCGAGCTCTGGTGCCTGGTGGGCACCCGCACCCTGCTCGACCTTTGCCAGATACAGGTGGGCACCCCACCCTGTGCGCCCCCTAGACACAGAAGGCCCCCCTCCAGAGAGCCCTGGGAGCCTCAACAGGCCCAAGTTTAAGAAGAGCCAAGGCGACCTCTGTAGGGATGGGGGGCAGAGGGGGCTGGAAAATCTACTCCCACCTGCTTTTACCCTTTGACCACTCGGTAGCCAGAGTCACTAGGAGCCGGAAGGTTGAGGGACACCCGCACCCATCCATACCCCCTCCACCCTGTGCCCCAGAGGCCCTGAACCCGAGGCCCCCCAGAGGATGGGGGAATTGAGCATGTCCTCCATCGTTTCCTCCCCACCTTCCCTTAGGATTTTCCATCCCAGAGGCCTTCAGAGTCAGCTAGCTCACCCCAGCCCTCTGCACCTACCCAGCCCCAGGGCATGGCCCCCTCCTGACCTGCCACGCAAGGACTCTGCATCTAGGATCCAGCCAGGCTCCGCCAGCGGCCTTGCCCCCAGGATGCTGCCTGGAGGCAGGGTGGCAGGGCTGGCCTCCACCTGGAGCTTGGGGTGGGCACTGGGGGCCCCTGGGAGAGGGGAGGGTTTGGGGCTGAGTCTCTCAGAAGGCGGGGGCGCCTGGAGGCCTCTGAGTTAACCCTGTCTTTCTCGGGATGGGTCCTGGATATAGGCCCCTCGGACCTGCCTTCCCAGGGGCTTGAGGGGAAGGGAGACTACATCCTCAGAGATGCCTCCCCCTTCCTCAGGCCCCTTGCCCTCTCCATGGACAATAAAGATGATTTTTTCAACCTGTGCTTAGAATCATGAACACAGAGAAGGAAATAGGCTATTCTGAGGCCACACAGCAGTTCTGGCTGGGACAGGCTCCTGGGATATGTGCCAGGCTGGTCCCTTCCTGGCTCAGGAGTTTAATATTGAGGTGGCAGAGGTGGTGACAGGGATGTGGCAGCATGGACACATGGCCTAGCACCTACGTGCAGTCTTGGGTGGATGGTGCCATGTCCTGTGCCATCTTAGGCTGAGAAACAACTGAAGGGAGGCTGGTCCTGAAAAGGCCTCTACGAGTCCACTTGGATTCCCTAGCCCCTGACCCTGACTTGCCTAAGACCTTGAGGATCCTTCCTATCTCAGTCCTGCTCAGCCTCGTGTCCCCTGCAGGGCCCAGCTCAGGGAGGCCACATTGTGTATGGAAGAAGGTTGGATACCAGCTCCTCTGCTTACCTGCTGTGTGCCCCTGGGTAGGCCACTGCTCCTCTCTGAGCCTGTCAGAAGAATAACTACCATGTGGTGGATGCTTACCATGTGCCTGGCACCGTGCTAGGCATTTGTATAATTTCATTTCATTCTGATACCAGCCCCAAGAGGCAGTATTACTATCCCTTTTTACAGATTCAGATATTAAAGCTCAGAGAGGTTAAGTAACTTGTTCAAGGTCAAACGGCTTGACCCCACAGAGAGCAAGTGTTTTGCACGCTTCCTGCTACCCTCTTCTTGTTTCAGAATGGGGGCTAGGGAAACTAACAGAGGTGGCCAGAAAAATATGGCAGGTCCATTCCTGCCAGGTTCTGGAATGTGGTTCTGGCCCTGTTTTAGGAAGGGTAGCCTGCGACTCCATCATAGCCTGTTCTCCTGGCCCAGGCACCTAGCACACAGGGATTTGGTCCCACCTTGGGGCCCTTTCCCAGGAGAGGCCCCACAGGACAAAGGAGACCCCCAGCCAGGAGGCCTCCAAGGGTTAATGAGGGGTGGGCTGTCCGGGAGTAACAGGGGAGGCACCCGGCTCCCAAGGGGCCTGTGCTCAGCAAAGGCTACTATCTGGCCTAGGATTCTCCACTCCCCCCCTGGGCACACCTGGGATACAGAGGCAGGCTGGCCCCATGGCTGGACTGCGTGGTTTCAGCTCATTCCTCCAGGCATGGCCACCTAATGGACAGCTAGAGGCCAACCTCTGATCCCGCGCTCTCCACCCTCCCCCAAGGAGGGCTTCTCAACCCCCGAGTAGGCGGAGGTGGGGGAAATGCCTGTGGATGCACACCCCCGCCACACACACTCCCGGTATAGGACCCAGCCCCCCTTGGCCTATGACTGTGCTCAGTTCCCTCTGGGCAGGAAACTTGCCCCTGTCTAGGAGGAAATGGCTCAGTTAGGTGGGCACAGGGCCAGCCCTTGCCAGACCCAGACTAGGCACTGGGTTCCAACTTGGGCCCGATGTTCTTGCTGGAAGGCTCCTTGTCCTCTCGGCCTCCGGTGCAGCCTTGGACCTGGTGGGGACAGGGCTGGGAGGGGATAGGACTTGGCAGTTGTTTCCTTTTTATGGACACAGGGACCACTTTCCAAACAAAAATTGGGGCCATGTGGGCTGGACAGGATTCTTTTCTTATCTATTAAATTATTTTTGTGGAAAGTCTGACAAGGGCATAAAAATTAGATCACTCTTAACTGAGGCATTTAGCAAATCTCCAGACCAAACAAAGAAAAATAGGCCTGAGGTCCAGAGGGCAGAGGAAATCCAAAAGGTATAGTCAGAAACAGCGGCATAAAGCTGGAACTTATTCTCCCACAGAGGCGGAGGAGCCCAAATCTTGGGCCTTGACCAGCATCCTTCTGAAGAGGTGGGAGACCGGAGCCCCCAGCCCCTGCGAAGATGGGTAGTAACCCTGGGGCAGCTGGGTTGCCTGTGGCCTCCCCCCTCCTGAGCCCCCTGCTTCTGTCCCACTGGGTGTCCTGCATCACAGTTGGACATCCACCCGGGCCAGGCTCTGGGCTGGGCTCTGGGGATGAGCAAGATACACAAGTAGCAATTGGTGCTGCAGAGAAAAGTAAAGCTGGGTAAGAGGAGAGAGTGACAGGGGACTAGGGAAGGTGTATTTGTTATCTATAGCTCTGTAACAAATGACCCCAAAATTTAGCAGCTTAAAACACCCAACATTTATTGTCTCACTTTTTCTGTGTGGGTTGGGTCCCACAGCTTGGCTGGGTCACCTGGCTGAGGCTCTCACGGGCCACAGCCATGGAGTCAGTCAACGCTCTGGTGTGATCTTAAGGCTTGACTAGGGAAAGATCCACTCCCAAGCTCCACTCATGTCGCTGTTGGCAAAATTCAGTTTCTCAAGGGCGGCTGTTCCTTTCTGGCTGTTGGCCTGGGGGCTCCCTCGGTTCCTTGCCACATGGGCCTCTCGGTAAGACAGTTCACAATGCGGTGGCCGTCTTTCCCTCAGGGCATGCAAGTGAGGGACACAGAGAAAAGGTGAGCAGAAGAGAAGTCACAGTCTTTTTTGGGACCCAGTGTAAAAAGCGACATCCCTTTGTTTTTGCTGTATTGTATTGGTTAGAATCTAGTCTCTGGGTCTAGCCCCCCTCGAGAGGAGGGGACTGCAAAAGGGCAGGGCAGAAGGTGGGGATCCTGGGGAAGTGCCTTCCACAGAGGGCCTCTTTGAAGAGGGCTGAATGGACAGAGGGCCCCAGCTGAGAGAACAGCGTGGGAGGTCCTGAGGAGGCAGCAGGCTGGGACTATTTTAGGGACAGCAGGAAATTCAGTGTGGCTGGAGCATCGGAGATGATGGAGCAGCAGGAACGAGGTCACAAGGTGGGCAGGGACCAGATGACTCCTGGCCACTGCAAGGGTTAGGATTTTATTCCCCTGCCATGGGCAGCCCGTGGAGGGTTTGTTTCCACAAGGAAGTGACAGATTCGGCTTACATTTTTAAAGGATTCCTCTCCTTGCTGTGCTTGGAACAGACAGTGTCGAAACCATTCACCAGTTTGGAAGCATTTGAAATAACCCAGGTGAGATAATGAGGACTTGGACCAACGTGACAGCCGTGGAGGCCGCCAGAAATGGTTGGACTAGGAACGTAATTTGAAAAATTGAAAGGATTTCCTGATCAATTAGATGTGGGACTGAAAGGAAGAGAGGAATCTTGGGGGCTTTAGGATTTTTGACCTGAACAGCTGGGTGAAGGCGTGGGGGCCCCCCAGGGGAAGAGCAGGGCCACCTCACGCAGGTGCCGAGGGCAAGTCCAGGTGTGAGGCGAGCGACATGGTCTGGGGATCAGGGAGGCCTTGCTGGGCAAGAGCTGTTGAAACCAAATGCTGAAGGTTCAGCGGGAGTTCCCGGGCCAAGGGGCTGGTGTCGCGGCCCAGGCAGGTCTAAGGCTCCTGAGCGGCCTGAGGGACTGGGAAGGGCTGATGCGGCGGAGCTGAGAGGGTGCGGCCCGGTGGTGGGAGACCGTTATGGAGGGGCCGATCTCCCCGGGGCCACAGCAGGTGAGCCCCTGGAGGGCTGTGTGAGAGGGCCTGGCCCGCGTGGAGAGGGGGTTGTAAGGAGGAAGAGCCCGGCCAGTCCAATTTTAAGGACCCCCCCTTTAGGATAAAGAATACAAATTCATCTGAAAGTGAATTTACTGGGAATGAGAAAGAAGAGCATGACCAATGACTGTAGCCCTGGGGACCTGGGGCTGATGCAGTCGGGGACCGCGAAAATGAGAAACCGAGTCAGAAGACGTTTAGCAGAGGGCTTAGACTTTCTCTGGAGACTAAGCACCAAGTCAGCGCTCCCCTGAGCTTTTATTAGGTTGCAACCGCAGAAGGCCAGGCATCGATTAATGATTATAGGATGTGTTTTTCATCAACCGAAACAACTGCAAGCTAAATCTTTCTTAAGAGCTCCTCTTATGCTCTGTCAAGTCATCCGGCCACGTGAGCCTCACAGAGTGTTCCTTATCGGGGCTCGCCTCGAGGGTCACGAGGACCGTTTGCAGTCCTGCCACACACCGCTCATGACTCAGACCAGATTCCAAGATGCAACGCTTATTGTTCTTTTCTCTTAGATTAGTTTCGGCTACAAATCAAGCTTAAACAGTAAACGTATTGTTCTTTCTCTTAGATTAGTTTCGGCTATAGATTAAGTTTAAGCAGCAACTAAATTACAGCGAGGTTAAACTGCTGGGGTATCTACAGGATCTACATTTCCCCCTTGTTTAGCTTGCATCTTTTGTAACATTAGTGAGAAGACTGCTGTTGTTGTTCAGCTCACTGATGTTTTCCGGTAGCTCTTCTCCAGACTATGCAAAACACAAACAAACATAACACAATTATTGTAAGTGTAGCAGTGGAACCACTAAAAATTGTTAAATGTTTTATCGGGTCCAAATTACTTATTCCACTTGCAATACTTTCCAGTAAATTAAAACCACTGAATATTTGTAGTTGTTCTTGGAAAGCATCAGTAATGGGCTGTTGAAGGTCTAGTATTTCTTGAGTCATATTACCATGATTTAACAGATATTTTTTTAACATGGTCCCATGGAAAATAAGTATGATTATAAGGTACAGGAGTAACACGAAACCCATTTGTATTCCAGTCACATTTCATAGAAATCTGATGTTGTAAATTAACAATTTGATCTCCTAGCATAAGAACTGCTTGCTGCAAATCAGTCAACTGCCCATTAATTTCACTGTCTATCCATCTTTGGGTGGTCCACAACTTCGAGGAATTAGAATGCTAATTATTAACAAAGTCAACAGTCTGAATACTCTGCTGAAGTGCGACCCCAGCAGTCGCGGCAGTTGCAATCATGGCTATGATGCCCAGGACGGCTGCAATGATTAATCCAATCATTCATTTAATTCTTTTCAGAAGATTGTCAATAGTATGTTGGAGAAGCATCATGCTTGAAGAATCTTGCCATTTTTGGTGTAGTTGAACTGGAAGCCAGAGACCTGTTCTAGCCTTAAGAATATAAAGACTATCTTTTGTGGAAAAAGGAACAGAGTTATTACTACAAATATAGAATGAACAATTTACACAGGAGATGGAATATTCCGACGAATTCCATGCTGTGTGACCAATCATAATTAAAAAGGGCAATCTGACACAGGCTGTAATATAATGATTCTCGTTTTTTGTACAACTCAATTATTATTTGTAACACTATCATTCAAATACGTCTTTTCCAAGCTATCAGACTCCATAAAGCTGAGGGAATTTTCCACAAGTAATATTGCAGGGGCCCTAAAGGTAAACGTGGGGCAGGAGGAGACATCCCACCTCCATGCCAATGAATGGTCTCATTAGAAGATGTGACAATGGTGTGATTAGTGACATCAATACATTTATGCCATCTCAGGCCATGCCCCTGTCCTCTGGCTGGGATGGAACCTCAAGGGCTCCAATCAATGACACTTCCAGAGGAGGTATTGAGTAAAACCCGACCTATTTCTCCTCGACAATTCATCCAGTGCGCCCATTCACTCATTTCTATAAAGATTGGCTGAGTGGAGATGGGCAAAATCGGGGGGGTGATCTGTTGTGTCTTTAGTATTATTTTGTTTGTGGAATCTGAATCCTTGAAGAAGGAATAATTTTTTATTGGTATGATTTTTGACAATGGATAGCCATGCAGCTGGTTGTATTTTCAAGCAATGTTTCTCACGTCCAGTGCAAATGGGCATCCCCTCCACTCCCACTGTATAAGTAAGTCTCAATCTTCACGCCCTCCTCTCCTGGCCTTAGGGGGCCACGAGTATCATAAGGACCAGGAGTCCAATTAGAATCATTAACATATACTGGGATCCTTTCAGAGAGCCAGTGAATAACTTGATTGCTAGGAGGGTTAGCAATGTAAGCCCAATATGAATAATTAGTGCCCTTGGCAGAACTTAACCCCATGGTGACCAGAGCAATCATAGCCAGAACAAATTTGAAGCGTTGCGTGCCTGTCCGCTCTGTTGTACAATCTTTTCAGCTCCCTGTGTCATTGTTTTTCAGTTGTCCCCATGTTGGGGGATTCAGTTTTTGAGGTCTTGGTAACAGAATTCGAACTCTGGATCTTCCAATAGTCATGGCTTGCACTTCATCAATGGGAGGTTCAACATCAACTCGAGGCCTTTTGTTCATTTTGGGGGTTTTATCTTTTTAGCTGAGATCCACACAGCTTCTCCGGTGTCTGTAATGACAGAAGCATATCCTTGCCCCCACCTATGAACTATCCCTGACTCCCCATTTTCCCATATCATTTTTATAAAAGACAGGCTGATTTATATCAGAGGACTTTTCTTGCACCCAATGTCTTTCGGCTGCTGATGAAACTGTATTGTTTAGATTCAAGAAATTCAGGGTAAATAATGCCTTATGTGTTCTCATATGGGGAGTTTCTGTGCCATCATATCCCCCTTTTTGTTTAAGCAACATATCTTTTAATGTGCGATTATGTCTTTCAATAATTGCTTGTCCTTGAGGGTTACATGGAATCCCACTAATATGTTTGATATTCCATTGAGAAAGAAACTTTTGTAATTTCACAGGAAGATAACTAGAGGCAGTATCTGTTTTAATTTTAGCTGGCAATCCCATAACATTAAAAGCCTCAAGTAAATGTTGAATCACATTATCAGCCTTTTCTCCTGATAGTGCAGAAGCCCATCTAAAACCAGAATACGTATCAATTGAGCAATGAACAAAAGATAATTTTCTGAATTCTGGAAAATGTGTGACATCCATTTGCCATAATCCATCAGGGTGTAATCCTCTTGGATTAATCCCTGGAGCGTAAGGTTTACTTTGGATTTGAGTACACTGAGGGCATTGGTCAATGATACCTTGAGCCTGTTCTCCAGTGAGGTGAAACTCAACTTGTAAACCTTTCCCGTTAACATGAGTTTGTTCACGCCACGCTTTGGCAGACAACAGGGGTCCGACGAGTAACTTATCAATATGTTCGTTAGCTTTGATCACTGGTCCAGGGAGGGAGGTATGAGCTCGGGTATGAGTAATATAAAGAATATTATGTCTTTCATATAATAATTGTTGCAAAGTATAAAATAATTGATACGATTCAGTACTGTCATCAAATAGAGTAACAGAGTAAATATGTTTTACTGTATATTCAACATATTGCGAGTCAGTAACAATATTAAGGGGATTTGTAACATCTTGCAATAACATAGTAACAGCATATAATTCAGTTTTTTGTACTGAGCGATAAGAAGTTTGGATGATTTTTGTAGTTTTCCCACTATATCCTGCTTTACCTTCCTTGTTAGCATCTGTATAATAAGTATCAGCTTTTGGGATAGGATGAGTTTTAATAATGTCAGTACTACAAATCTATTGAGTTTTTTTAAGAAATCGAATACATTTGTCTTTTGGAAAGTGATTATTAATAGTTCCTATATAATTGGGAAAGGCTATTTGCCAGTTATCATTCAATTTCCAGTTGTCAGCTATTTGGGTGTTAGTAAGGGGAACAACAATTTGGAAGGGTCTTGTGCAATCAAGGCATGCAATCATAAACACCCAATTAGCTGACAAATTTTATCTATATAAGTTAATAGTTTTTTTGATGCCTTATGTGGTAAGAACATCCATTCTAAGATTTTTCCTTTTTGCCATAAAATACCAGTAGGGGAAGGTTTGGAGGGGAACAATAAACAACTCAACATCGTGTTGTGTGTCAATATGATCTGAATAACTATTTCTCATATATTCTTTTATCCACTCTAATCTCTTCTCAGCTTGAGGTGACAACTGTCTAGGACTGTTTAATTCAGACTTCCCAGTTAGCATATTAAATACATGCTTGAGTGAATATGTTGGAATTCCTAATGAAGGGCAAAGCCAATTAATATTACCTAAGAGCTTCTGAAAATCATTTAAAGTCCTGAGACTATCTCTCCTAAGTTGAATTTTTTGTGGAAGAATTTTTGTTCTTTTAATTATACTTCCTAAATAATTATACAGAGTCTATCCTGTACCTTCTCAGAAGCAGTAAGACCATAAGCTGTTAATTCTATAACCGCTTGTTCATAAAGAGTTTGTAGACTAGGCAAATTTTTATGAGTAATTAAAATATCATCCATATAATGAATAATTAAGGTATCAGGAAATTTTTTCTTCAATTTCTTTAAAGGTTGATTAATAAAATATTGGCATAATGTAGGGCTCTTTAACATTCCTTGAGGCAAAATTTTCCATTGATATTGAGCAGTAGGTTTATAAGTATTGGGAGATGGAATAGGAAAAAGCAAATCTCTCACAATCAGAAGGTTGGAATGGAATGCTGGAAAAGCAGTCTTAAATTAATTATTTTAATATTCCAATCTAAGGGAATCATACCGGGTTGTGGTAGTCTAGTCCAGGTTGTAGAGGATCCATAGGTTGAATAACAGCATTTATTTTTCTTAGATCAGTCACCATTCTCCATTTTCCTGATTTTTTCTTAGTGACAAAAACAGAAGAATTCCATGGACTATGAGATTCTTTTATATGTCCAGCAGACAGCTGTTCTTGAATTAGTTGTTCTAATGCTTAAAGCTTCTCCATTGTTAAAGGCCACTGTTCTACCCATATTGGTTTATCAGTTAACCATTTTAGGGGAAGGGCCAAGCTATGAACAGTGGCCTCTCTCATAAATTTGGATAACCAATGCCTGATCCATCTAATTTGGGTTGAGGGATTATATTGGTTAAGACATCTTGTTGGTTTTTTCCTAAACCATTTCTAAAATCGTATCCCATCTGAGCCATAATATTTCGAGACTGTGGTGAAATGGTTGGTATATTTATAGTTGCCCCCCATTGGGACAATAAATCCCAACCCCAAAGATTAACCTGTATAGGTGCAGCAAAAGGTTGCAACATAGCCTTTTGTTCTTCAGGCCCAATCATTGATAAGTTGACACACTTTGGAAAATCTCTGTAAGTGTTCTTATTTCTGTAAATGTAGTGGACACAGAAGTTAAAGGCCATGCAGAAGGCCAAGACTCTTGAGATATTACAGACACATCAGCTCCTGTATTTACCAGTCCCTTAAAGGGCACATTATTTATATAAACATTCATCTCAGGCCGATCATCATTAACATGAGTCTGCCAATATATCTTTCTACCAGGACTGCCGAATCCACCTTGTCTTTGAATGGGGTCAGATTTTCCCTGTATGTAAGGCAACAGCAGGAGTTGTGCAATTCTTTGTCCTGCCTTTAACAATACTAGTTTATTGGTACTCATTATAATCTGAATTTTGCCTTCATAATCACTGTCTATAACTCCCAAATGAATGTGAATTCCTTGACTGGTAAAACTACTTCTGCCAATTAATAATCCAACAGTATTTTTTGGAAATGCCAGTTGATATTTTAACAATGCTGGCTTTAGGTAGTAAACGTAAATTATCTAAAATGGGAATATCTAATGCAGCGCTTCCTCCTGTGGCATGAGTAAGGTCATTGATTGAAGGGTGGCATGATCTTTGCTGTGGCTGACTGGGTATTGTTGAATGCTATTGCTTTTCTTGGGGCCCTGAACTGGGCCCATATTCCAGTTTCCCTGTTTCCCTAAAGGTTGCCCATCTTTATCCCACCTTGACCTGTATTCATTAGCCCAATGTTTCCCTTTTTTACATCGAGGACATACACTGGGGGGAGGTTTCTTTTCTTCTTCCCTTCTTATCAGTCTGTTTTTTCAGCAATCTTTTAGAAGATGACCTAATTTACCACAATTATAACACTTGGTTTTATTTTGTTTTAATGTATCTCTTAAGAGCCGTAGCCAGTAGATGAGCTTTATAAGGCTCACTTCCCACCTCCAAACAAGCTTTAATATACTCATCTAGAGGTGCATTTTGGGCTTTTAAAGGCCAGAGGATCTTTTGACATTCTACATTACCGTTTTTTAAAGAAAGCGTTTGCATTAAAAGATCTTGGAGATCTGGGTGGGAAACTGTTTTTTGAATTGCTTCTTTTAGTCTCAATAAAAAGGCCACATAAGGTTCACCTTGGGACTGAATAACTTAAACGTAAGATTTAGCAGTCTTTCCGGGTGGTTTAATTTTATTCCAAGCACGGATGCAACACAAATGGACTTGTACAATAGCCTCATCAGGGTATTGTAATTGAGCTCTAACTCCTAACCAATCTCCCTTACCAGTTAATTGTTCTAAAGTTATTGGTAATTGATTAGCCTGATTTCTCCTTGCCACCTGCTCTGCTGTCTCTTCTCTCCACCACATCTTAAATTCCAAAACTGTTCTAGCTAACATATCCCAGCCATAGGGGATGAAGCGGGGTTCCTGTGCTAATTCTTGTGACATCCCTTTAACATAATTAGATTGTATCCCATACACAGTCACTGCTTGTTTTAAGTCCTTTATAACTTTAAAGGATAAGGGAGTATATTCAAACTGCTGATATCCCTGAGGATATTGATCATTAGCAGGCATTTGTTGTGCAGCAACAGGAAATGCAGAAGCTTTGACAGGCAGTGAGAAACATCAATATCTCCCTCTTTTCTTGCATTTAAAATGGATTGGGGTATTACTGAAATTTGAGGAGTGGGAATAATTAACAGAGGCGAAATTCCTGATACTGAGGCATAGGAGGGGCTGTAGGAACAAGCCCCCTTTTTCTGTTATCAAGTCTTTGCAGGATAGATGTGGTTATCACCTTCCTTAGTTAAGAGAGATGCAACTCTGCCTTTTTAAAGGGGTTAGTGTCGAAGTTAGTGATTCTGGTAATGTTGTCAAGGTAAGCGATTTGTTTTTCAGTAGAATGCTGAGAATTATCATTTAAAGATGGAATTTCTGTACACAGCTGAGAAAAGAGATCTGTTCCCCCTGCTGGTGAGCTCCACGGAGAGCTCTTAAAGCCTGTCTCCAGACTTTTAGGTTCAATATAACTTTAACTTGCAGATGAAACCAATAACAATGTTTATTAACCAATTCGAACAACTGTCTACCATAGTTGATTTTTTAACTTCAACCCCGGAGCTTTTAAGCAAGGTGTGCAATAAGGGACCACACTGTTGTTGAGCGGTCTGGGAATTTCCCATGTCTCTGCAAAATAACGCCGAAAGTTTCACTTACCTCGGGGCGTAAGTGAATCCTTTCGGTTCTGACCGGCCTGAAGTCAGTCAAAGTCTGTCACTTTCGAGCCCCACGTTGGGTGCCAGATGTTGCAGTCAGGGGTCACGAAAATGAGAAACCGAGTCAGAAGGCATTTTAAGCAGAGGGCTTAGACTTTCTCTGGAGACTAAGCACCAAGTCAGCACTCCCCTGAGCTTTTATTAGGTTGCAGCAGCAGAAGGCCAGGCATCGATTAATGATTATAGGATGTGTTTTTCATCAACCTAAACAACTGCAAGCTAAATATTTCTTAAGAGCTCCTCTTATGCTCTGTCAAGTCATCCGGCCACGTGAGCCTCACAGAGTGTTCCTTATCGGGGCTCGCCTCGAGGGTCATGAGGACCATTTGCAGTCCTGCCACACACCGCTCATGACTCAGACCAGATTCCAAGATGCAACCCTTATTGTTCTTTTCTCTTAGATTAGTTTCGGCTACAAATCAAGCTTAAACAGTAAACGTATTGTTCTTTCTCTTAGATTAGTTTCAGCTACAGATTGAGCAGGACACTAAATTACAGCAAGGTTAACTGCTGGGGTATCTACAGTATCTACATGGGTCCATCCTGACATTTCTCTGGGCACTTGACAGAAAAGCTTCCTGAGTGTAACCTGCTGCCTCCCCTCCTAGAACACTCCATAGCTCCAAGCAAACCTCTGCCCTCACAGGGCCTGAGCCAGTGACAGGCCTGAGTGTAAATTTAAGGTCACAGTAAGCTCACCTCCAGCTAGGAAAGAAGCAGGGAGGCCAGCCGGGGGTAAAGAGGGGACCTAGGGATTGGGGGTGCCGGGGTAGGTGCTGCCAAGAGTAGAGGCTCCCAGTGGGGATGGGAGCTCGAGGACGGGGGTGGGATCCGTGAGGGGACAGTGGCTGGGCCTGGCAAGCAGCCAAGGGCTTGGGGAGGCTCTGGGACCCTCCACAGTGAGTGGTGCCAGGATTTACTACTTCCTATCCTCAGAAGGGGCTCTGACCTTCAAGGCCTGGGTCAAAGAGGGGCCCTCCCAGCCCACTGAGCCTCAAGCCCCCTCCACTACCCACTCCACACTTCTCCCCCGCGACTCTGGAGCCCGTGGGATTTGCTAAGCAGATAGCCCATCCGTGGGAATCAGCAGGCCAACAGAGCCAGGCCCCTGGACAGGGAGGGGCTTAAGACCCAGACCCTGTTGTCACAGCCAGGCCTGCAAGGCCAGACCCTACCTGGCCCAGGTGGACACAGGCTTGGGGCCTGAGAGTGAGGGACTCTGTGTGGCTATAACACGGCCCGGTTGGTTCCACTCTTGGTTTCTGAACATTTCCCACGAACTTGGCTGGTTTAGTAAAGGGGCTAGACACCTGAGTTTGAATGAAGCTCACTTAGCAATGCATGTGACCTGGAGCAAATTACTCTCTGTGCTTCAGTGTCCCCACTTTTTGAGAGGAAGGAACAAGAGGAGGTAGGGCACTTAGCCACAGGCTGACGGTGGCCTTTAGCGGCCCAGCCCTGGGACTGCAGCTCAGGCTCAGCCACGCCTCTCTGATGCGAAGGGTCAACGGACACATCTGGGTGAGGGGAGGAGGCCCTGACTCAGGCAGCAGAGGCAGGAACCGGTCTCAGGGGAAGAAGGGAAGGAAGAGGTTCCTACCTCCCCCATCTGGCACACCAGACTGCTCCCCAGGTGGACAAGATGCGCTCATGTTCACCTGCAAAGAGCTGTGACTACAGCAGCCCCTTATTGAGCAATTATAACTCCGCGCTCTGCGTTTTCTGGCATTATCTCTCCCCAGTCTCCAGAACAACCTTGTAAAAGTTGATTGTTGTTTCCTCTGTCTCCCCAGAAAATTGAAGGTTCTGAGAGATTAAGTAACTTGCTCAATGTCACAAAGCTAATAATCAGTGGGAGAGCAAAGATCCACATTCGAGTGTGTCTGACTCCATAGCCCCAGCTATAAACAGCTCAGTATCTTTTACTACTAATCACATGATTTGCATATGTAGCTCCTTAAGATCCCCTGCTCATAAGTTTTTTAGGAATGAGTTTTTTAGGAAGGAGCAGAAGCTCCCCCCACATTACAAGAGGCCATTGAGACTCAGAGAGAAGTGATTTGCCCAAGGTAGCAGGCTGTCAAGTGGCAAAGCTGGAATCACTCACAGACACTGATGTTACTCATACGTGTGTTTGCCCCGCACCTGCCCCTGCTGCAGTGGGGGGGACTCCCACTTCTCTGTACTGCCCCCTGCCCAGCCCCCAGCACAGGACCTACACACAATAGGTGCTGAGTGTTGAGCTGACCGGATTCCGAATGGGCAGAGCCAAAGATGGAGGGAGGGACAGGGGCAGAGTCAGGCCTGGGAGGCCCAGGTGGGATTCTGAGGCTGTTTGCCAAGGAGAGGAACCGCCCCCACCCCCCACCCCCGCCACCAACCCAGATGTCCAACTTCATGCAGCTGCACATTTGGGCACCCCCAAGCTGGGGCTGACAGTTCTGCTCTGACCTGGCCCAAGTGGAATCTGTCAAAGCGAAAAAGAAACTAGACAGACAAATGATTCTCTTCCTTGAGGTTTCTGGTCCCCTAGGTGCTGTGGCTCAGGAAAACTTCTCCTTGTTCTCAGATCTCATTGCAGAGTGAAGGACCATAGGAACAGAGATTTCTGGAAACCAAGTAAGGGTAATGTGTGACCAGCCAGCGCTCCCATGGGCCCCGGGGGTACCCTTTCAGGGCCTCTGTCTCCAGCAGTTCTGCAAGGGAAAGCATTCACATCCCTGTTTGTGGGCATCCAGTCCAGCTCCCCTATCTAACAGGTGAGGAAATGGAACCTGGGAGAGGGAAGGAACTTGTCCAAGGTCACCGCCAGCACCAGAGAGCTGGGAGTTAAGCCCAAGTCTGAACTCAGAGCCTATGTACCCCCCTTCCCTCCGGAATATCCTCCCATTTTTCTCATGACTGTATCTTCCTCGTTTCAGCTTAAATGTCACCCCCCCCCCAAAGAGGCCTTCCCCTGCACCCCTACTTCTGTCTCAGCCTCTGTGCATTTCTTCACAGCACACCTCACCATTGGTAATTATTATATGACTTTGAGTGACGTGTCAGTCTCCCTCACCTCCCCATGAGTCCCGTGGGGACAAGGATTGATTGTGTCTGACTTGATTCCTGTGAGCTCTTTGACGGGTGCCTGGTACACAGTCGGTGCCTAACCAATGTTTGTTGGATCAAAGCTCCCTTCTGTGGGCAGGAGGTGCCATGCCTGTCTCCCAGACTGGATGGCAGCAACTTTCCCCACTGCCCCGGATCTTGCCCACAAAACTTTCCCCTACCCTTTCCCTGCCACCCAGGGTCACAGCTGCCACAACCCTAACAGAAGGTTGAGCCCCTTTGCTAATTGCTCAGAAGAAAGCTGGTTGGAGGCCGGCAGGGCAGGAGAAGGGGAGCAGGGCCTCTGAGCTGGCAAAGGGCGTGTGTTCTGTCCAGCCCACTTCCTGGGTTTCCACTGCGGGAAGCTTGGCACCTGCTGGAGGTGACACTGACACCACCGCTGGCGCTGGTGTGGGAGACCCTTGGCCAGGACGTTACCCTCCAGCCGGGAGCAGCTGTCAGGGTGCTGGACAGCAGGTGAGTGGACCCGCACACCCCTTCCTCCTTCCCCCTTTCACTTTCCCAAGCCAGGCTTAGCCCAAGGCAGATGTGGGACACCTAGATGGAGTCAGTGTGACCCGGCACAAGGCCCAGATCAACTCTCAGTGCCTCATTGTTCCGCCTGGAGGTGCAGTGAGGTGGCGCAGCGGATATCACAGAGGTAGAGAGGGCAGATTCATTTCTGTCTGTTTTAAGTTAGCTTCTGGATCACAAAGCACTGGGGGGTTCGACAGCCAAAAGCATCCGAAAACCCCTGAATGGCATCTTCCTGCTCTGGCGGTCAGTGGTTCCCTCCTTCCTCCTGGGGGAGGTGCGGTGGAGGGAAATCTGGCTGCAAGCACTGCTGTGAAGGGGGAGACACTGTTTCCAAGCCAGGAATGAGCCTGACCAGGGGCTCAGGCAGCCCTGGGTTTGAGTCTCCCCCAGCCACGTAGAACGCGGTACCTCTCTGAGACTCAGCTTCTGCATCTGGGAAGAGTGACAGTCCCAGGCCTCTGGGTCAGAAGAGCAGTGAACCCAGCTCTGCTCCTTCTGTGACCTCGGGCCCCTCCGCTCCTGTTTGTTCGTCTGTGGAGCAGGAATGATCAGCTCTGCAGCACAGGGCTCTCCTGGGGGGCAAACGGAGGGCCTGCAGGCCAGGCCTCCGCACAAGGAAGCCTCTGTGGGGGCAGCGGCCGCAGCTGCTGTCACTGCTGCAGAGTGGCTGGGGGACCAAATGAGAAGAGGGATTTAGGGAGGCTGGAGGAGGAGGATGTGGCAGGGTCACCAGGTGCCCCCTGCGTGACCTCCATGAGCAGGAGCGCCTCAGGAGCAGCCCCAGAGCCTCCTAGCCTGGCGCCTGTAGCTTCAGGGCTGTGGGGAAGAGTTAGATCCTGCCTGGCCTCCCCGAGAGGGTGCTGGGTCCGGCACTCCTCTGCCCTTGGCCGCTGTGGCTTTAATCAGAAGAACAATCTTTTTGCCTCTGAATCAGACCCAGATTCCTTTTCCCAGCAATGCTCCCGAGGCCCCTTAGGGACTCAGGCAGCCCATCCCTGGCTCCTCTCCCGTCCCAGGGCCCAGGCGCTGCTTCCCCCTTCCCCTTCCGTGTTCTATCTACTCCAGTTCCGGTGAGGCCTGAGTGCCGTGGGTGGGAGGGATCAGTGACCAGGCCCCGGTGGTAAAACCAGGTGACCTGATTCCCAGCTGGGCCCTGCCTCCCAGGCCTAGATCCTTCCAGGACACTGGGACCCACCTGCACAGGGCTTAAGGGTCCACACAGGCGGTGACAGCCACCCAGGACAGCAAACTGAGGTGACCTGCTCCACTGGGCATCTCTGAGAACCCCCACTCAGGAGCACCTCATGAAGAAGCTCCAAGCCCGGCATATACTGACCACAGACTGTGTGCACGTGCTCCTCACTGGCCTCACCACCTTTTCTCCTCAGGCTGACCCCCAGCGGTAGGCAGCCATTACCCCCAATTTTACAGACAAGAAATTGAGGCTCAGGGAGATGGAGTGACTAACCTGGGTCACTCGGTAAGTGAATTTCTGGGGAGCCCAAGTCCACCAGACTCTTAGGACCCTGGGAGATCCCAGCCCAGACTCAGGTGTAAGTACCCCACCTCCCCAGGGCAGGTGGGGCCACCAACCCAGGTGACCTAGGAGAGAAGCGTAAGGACCACTCAAGGGGCACAAAGGAGAGGGAGGTGGGCGGCCGGGGAGGCCTCGCACCCCCAATACCGGGCCGCGGGAACGCGCGGAGTGGTCTAGGGAACAAAGGGAGGCGCAGGG